AGGAATTAAATTTTAATTTTGCTTGCGAGTTTTCTTGAGGAAGTTCTATTTAGAACATTCCAACTAGAGCTAATTTTTCCCGCTCGGCAATTATGCACAGGAAGTTCATCGCCGATGACGTCATGTTTCTTGAAACGTAATAAAATGCTCCATCCAACACCGAGTTGCGTGTGTGTGACTGCCCTAAAATTTTCCTATCTTCATCTGCAGTTCCGAGAAACTTCATCTTCCTGATTCACTCCGCACATACTTCCCAGGGTTTAACATTTAATCATTTGGACGCACGCACGTCAGAAAAATATTAATATGAGTGTTCATTTTTTTAAATTAATTTTCCTCCCAGATAGTGTTGCTCCATCTGCCGAGTTCGCCTTATCATTATTAGCACAAATCTCACAAAAGGAACGACGATGGCAGGAATGATCTGAGTCAGCACTCGTTGTTGCCACGTTCGTCATTATCTCCACGTCCCGTGAGTTACAACAAAATTTACAAATGACAAAAAGTAAAAATGCGTTGTCGGAACTGCGCGCTATGATAAGAAGACAGGAATTGCAAATAAATTGCGTCGCCCAATTTTCTTTGCGTGTAATATACATACATACATACATACATACATACATACATACATACATACATACATACATACATACATACAGTACATATGCATACGTACCTACATACAAAACATGCATACCTATATAGACATCCACATACACATAAACTAGATAGGATACGAACGTGTCGGAACCTACGCAAACGCATCAACTGTATTACGTGCGTACCAAAAATAACGTTCACATTTAAGTAGGCACAGGCACAATAATAATAACATCATACAGGAAAACATCCACACAAATATTATTTAAACACAAATATTATTTAAACACTCAAACATAGAAGAAATTTTGCTTACAAAAATCACTTTTTATGACTAAACAAAAACATACAAACACATACGGACACATACAAAGTTGAAAATACAAAAGTGTGCACACAGCGGTATAAGATGATCATTTATCTTCCAGCTTCATGGCTACATCTCAATTCTCACAATAACTACCTACATACAAATAACTACATATAAACACATGCATACATACACGATACATACATACATACATTCATTCGTACTTACATACACACATACATACATTCATACAGACTCACATATATACATACATACATACATTCATTCATTCACTCCAACATGGTACAAACATTCACACATAAATGCATTAATACATGCACATGCACACACACGCACACACACGTACACACATACATAAAATCTAAATATAAACAGGCATGCATATAAATAAAAACGCACTTACGTATTTAATCACACATGAATAGAAGTATTTCCAGGCAAACTTACAATTACACTCATACAGATACGATGAATACGACTTAGAAGTAATCGAATACACCAACAGATGAAATATGTAGATAGGTCGAAGATGATGAAAATTTTATACAAATCACATAAATAGACACACACACACACACACACGCACGCACACAAACACAAGCAAATATACATAGTGCATACATTCTTTTTTTGGTCCATAACTAAAGGTAAAAAACCCAGAAAGACTTATTTACAAGAAAAACCGAAAAAAATTTACTTAATCAACAATATGTTCAAAACAATTTGTCGAAATTTTATATTAATTCATTTTTAGACATAGGTATATCTAAATACTCTTTAAATTGCTAGCTTTGGAAGGAAGTTATTTTGTAAAACCAATGTTTGTTGTTGTGCCAAAAACTAATGACAAAGTTTGACCAAATGATGAAATTTGGAAACAAATTCTTTATACTATCATAATACAATTACAATAACATACCCATCATCAAGGTATCATATATTAAGGTAAAATAGATAGGATATCCGATATAGATACATCGTGCATCCGTCTTAACAGATATAAAAATAACGGCAAATGCTATCCTTGTTATGTTATCTACGTATATAGTTCGCTATGTACTCGTTTCAACCTTTATTAACAACTCTAGGTTAGACTGGGTTGCCATTTCTCGCTAAGGAGATGAGTTTATACGAAGATGTAGTCTCTTAAATATAAGAATATATTACTCAAAATAAGTATATTTCACACAAAAATACTTTTAAAATATGTTAAATTAAAAAAATTGTTAATGTTTCATCGACACTTCAAATTTCCAACAATAAATAAAAGGGACACATGGGAGAGAAAGTAGGTAAATGGAATTTTAGTGTGTTGGTTGGACTTGAATTCGCAAACCATGTACTTAAAAGAGTTTGAGGAAATAGAAACAAGATACTTTTAAGATTAACTAAATACTGTGTCAATTTTCTAAAAATTTGAGGCCATTTTTACAAGTTTGGCCATTTAGTTTGTGCCCATTTTGCAGTCTGTTTGCGGCCTCGAATGACGGTTACTATTTATGTGATGTCTCAAGTAGGTGAGATTTCTTCATGAAACACTGGCTCAATAGCCTCGATGAAGAAAAACTGGAGTGAAAGAGATTTGAAAGTTGAAAATTTGTAAAAAAAACCCGGTTTGTGCATGAAATAACAAACAAACGCGGTTAACATTGAGATAACGAAACGAAACGTTCTTATAAAACGAGACTACCTTGTAGGTAAGTTCGGCCAAGAAGCTTCGATCAAAGTTTAACATTAGAAACAAATGACAAAACATTGACCAACTTTTTCAAATACAGTTTCACGAGTTGTCTTTTATGTAGTAATACATTCGAAACCATCATTCAAAAAGTTTCGCCTATAGGAGAGTGAGCCCGGGACGGTATGGAAATTTGAAAGACTTCACGTCTCAAAAGACTGTTACAGAAAGAATAAAACAATGATTTAACTAGGAACACCTTTAAGTGAATATTTTTTTGAAAAATTGAATTAAAAGAAAAATGTGTCGCGCCATCTTAACCGAGATACAATCTTTCTGTTTGCCTCAATCCTCGACTTTCACTTTAATTTAACTTTATTTAGACAAACTTTCCCACATATATATTAGCAACATCTGATTATGTCATGGAAAAAACTAAAAAAAAACAACCGTGTATATTTTTCGTAAATTAATAACACCAACAATAAAGAAATGACGTCAACGTTGGAACGTTCAACATCCGTAAGCTAAACAGTGCTGCAATTAATTCATTAATTATCTGTTAACGAAATTAACAATATTTAAAGAATAAACCAACCGCTACATAAATAAACACATTAGTTCATAAACCAGCTACGAAAACTAACACAAATGAGACAAAATAAATAAATACTTAATCCATTAATTAATTAATTAATTAATTAGTAATTAAATGTCTACAAATATTTATAAGCACACGCGTGTACATTAAGTCAGTTTATAAAATCGCACAAACACAACATCTAAGAATTTTCCTTTCTTTCTTATATTCCACTAAGGATTAGACGAATAATTCATCTCATAATGATTATATACAATCTTACAAGACGACATACATTCAATTTAAGCATTATACATGCATCTTATTTTATACCATTACTTTCACTGAAAAATAATTTAATTGTCTTGAATTATTTCAAAAAACAAAAAAGAATGTATGCCAAGAAATTAAATTAGACTAAATTGTAACGAACTGAACACGGAATAGATATGAAAGCATAGATAATAATTAAAACATTTAATCCGAAAAAAATTTTAACCAGAAAGTTTTCATAATTAAAATAGATGAATTAATACTCAACCGATCAATCAATCAATCAATCGATCGATCGATCAATCAATCAATCAATCAATCAATCGATCAATCAATCAATCAATCGATCAATTAATCAATCAATCAATCAATCAATCAATCAATCGATCAATCAATATGTGACTATTTATTTACAATCAATATGGCAGTAGCAAAACATTAAAATAAAAAAACTCTTATTCGAAGCGACTAAAAGAATAGAACAATATTATGTGAATGTGAATAACGTTATCAAGTTGTCATCATTATCAACAACAACAACGCAACACTTCTATTCTGATCATCATTATCATAATCTTCATCACCATGACGATCATTACTAATCACCATCACTACTATCATCATTCTTCATAATCATTTACACAGGTATTTACACCAATCAATCAGCCAATGGAATGAACCATCGACCCATCAATCATTTTTTTTAGCACCGGCATCATACTGAGGGAGAGGAGCCTGTGACGGTGGGGGCATGTACAGATTTTGAGGGTGAGCAGGGTCATAATAACCCTGACCTCCGTAACCTTGACCTCCGTAACCTTGATTTCCATTAGCCTGACCTCCGTAGCCAAAAGCTTCGGCTTCTTTTGCAGCTGAATGCAATATTATTTAGCATACATACATATATTAATTTATTTGTTTTCATATTCATTTCTTCATCCATACCTTCATCCAAACATTCACCAATCTATCCATACTTTCGTCCAAACATTTACCAATCCATCCATCCATCCATCCATCCATCCATCCATCCATCCATCCATCCATCCATCCATCCATTCAACCACGGACCAACATACCAGCACTTGCATTCTGACTGGTTGTGAACTGCGGATTGTACGATGGTTGGGATGGGTACTGTGGCTGTCCCTGCTGTGGCGGTCCCATTGGATACTGTGGAGGATACTGAGGTTGGCCACCACCCGGATATGGAGCTGTGGGGTACTGAGGTTGAGTCCCTCCAGGGTACTGCGACTGACCTGCGGTAGAATATGAGCAAAAATTCAATGAGACTTCTTTAAGAGATGTGAAACTTCGAATTTGGGACCGATAGAAAAATAAGTAGTACAAATTAAAACTGAAAATGCCAGCGCAAAACAAATGTTAAACATGCCAGCAAACATTTAACAAGTAACTAAAAAAACCAACAAAAAACTAACTGGTCAGCTAACAAGAAGAAAACACACAAATCGAGATCAACATTGAAAACACAAAAATATTATAAATATAAATACTTAAACAATTAACAAAAACCTCACTCACTCACACACCACACATACACACACACACACACACAAACCAGGATACTGGGGTACGCTGAATGGCTGTGCAGGTTGTGAGATTGGATATGGAGGAAGATTGGGATCAACACCAGGATAGGGAGGTGGGATGTCGTACATGTACACTGATCCAGCTGTGTGGTTGTGTGTGTATGTGTGTGTGGTTGTGTGGTGTTTGTATGTGTGTGTGTGTGTGGTCAGCCAACTAACTATTTATCAAACTGAGTAAACAACAAACCTTCCCAACAATAAATCAAGAAATAAAAAAATTAAAACATGTTAAAATAATTATTAACGCTAAAATAATTATTATTACACAGAATAAAAGTCCACAAAAAAGATAATTAAGTAAAAAAATAATAAATATAATGATCAAAATAAAATACTCACGGGGCGGTTGGACATTGAAGACAGGTGATGGGTATATGCCCCCGTACTGCATCTGTGGGGTGTAGGCAGGGGGAGGAGCTTCGTAGTAGGGTGCCATGGGTGGAGAGTAAGTTGGGGGTTGAGGGGGAGCATATCTGGAAGCTGCATGAGGTGGTGGGTAGGTTAGGTTTGACGGTAAGAAAAAAATTTGATTTTGTGTGTTGTGTATGCGTTTGTGTTATTACATTTCAAATATGTTTGTATGTATGCTTGTATAAATGTATATGTCATCACTATCACTCCCACCATCATCGTCATCATCATCCTCACCTAATTTTCCAGCTTGCAACATAGCCTGGCCAAACTCGATGGCACCTCCCTTGTAGAAGACCAACTTGAACATTGCCTCGCCCTGCCAGTTTGCTTGAGGAAGAGAATTATTAAATTATATTTTTTATGTGACAGCCAAATTATCATTAGGAAACATAATTAAATAAGTTACAGAATAAAAGTGATACTATTTAATAATAATATATATATACAATACACAACATCACACAAAAACTCTCTCTCACTCCCTCTCTCTCCCTTTCTCTCTCTCACTCTTTCTCCACTCTTTTTTTTCTCTCTTTCACATAACAATACACACACACATACACATACCATACAAATACATTTTCTCTTACACACACAAATACATCTTTTCTCTCTCCCACACAAATACAAAAACACAAAATACACACATACAAAGACACAAAACACACACATACAAAGAAACAAAACACACATACACATACCATACAAATACATTTTCTCTTACACACACAAATACCTCTTTTCTCTCTCCCACACAAATACAAAAACACAAAATACACACATACAAAGAAACAAAACACACAGATACAAAGACACAAAACACACACAGATACAAAGACACAAAACACACAAGACACACACACACCTCCTTGCTCAGCCTTCACAACACCAGCAATGTAGTTAGCCCCAAAAACTGGTTGCTCAAGTTCCAATTTTTTCATCGTATGAAAGGGCATACTTAGGGAGAGTAATTTATCTTTGTTGTCCTTGTTTACAAAAATCACCTTTTTGTGATTTTTTTTTTAAAGTTAAATTAGTTTTAAAATTATTTTGTAAATGGTTATGTTAATTAAAACTAATATATTAAAATTAATAACGACATAAATAAAGAAATAAACCATAATATAATTATTATATTGTAATAAAATATTATGTAATAAAATCAACATGAAGTAAATATTATGGTCAGCTATGGATGAAAAATTATTTAAAAATTTAAAAAACAATAAATAAAAAAATATAATGTCAGCTGACCACACATATGACCACACACACACACACACACACACACACACACACACACACACACACACACAAACATACACACACAGTCACACACACACACACACACACACACACACTGACTCGATGAGTGGTCAGATAGATCCTTCCACTCTTCTTCCCTTTCATTCGATTATCCCAGGCCTTGTCGAAACTCAACTCCACCCCATCGTGATAGATGAAGATTCTTAGTAAAAAATAAATATATAATTTTTATAATAATTTTCATAAAACAAAAATCAAATCAATCAAATCAAACCAAACCTCTCAGAATTGAAGAGAACCACACCATCCTTGCCGGCGTGTGAAGTGTTTAGTGACATTTCAATTAAACCAATTATCTAATTAATTGTCAAATTAATCAATTTAATTATTCGGTTTAGTCAAATATTTAAGTAAAACGCATTTAATAATTAAATAATGTAATAATCATTCCAGAACTGTTTGTTTATTTTTTTTAATGAGCAAAGTTCAGCAACAACTAATAGCAGCATTTGGTCATTTAATTATTCAATTGTATTTTCATTTAGTATATTTATTTATTCATTTAATTAATTAATTATTTATTTTTTCATTCATTCATTCAATCATTCATTCGTTCGTTCGTTTGTTCGTTCTTTTGTTCATTTATTTAAATATATATTTAGTTGATTATTTATTCATTCATTTATTCAATTATTTATTATACAGGGTCTGTTTATAACAATTTTGGAGTCCGGATCTGATGTATTGTGTCCTATATTTCATTTCAATTTTATCATTTCAGAGATATTATCTTATCAGAGGTCTTTTAAGATCAGAGGTCTTCGCCAAATAATCTTCCTGCCTCTCTCTTTCCCATGTATACACTCACACGTACATTTATTTTTATATTTATAGAATTGTTCTATATCTATCTATCTATCTATCTATCTATCTATCTATCTATCTATCTATCTATCTATCTATCTATCTATCTATCTATCTATCTATCTATCTATCTATCTATCTATCTATCTATCTATCTATCTATCTATCTATCTATCTATCTATCTATCTATCTATCTATCTATCTATCTATCTATCTATCTATCTATCTATCTATCTATCTATCTATCTATCTATCTATCTATCTATCTATCTATCTATCTATCTATCTATCTATCTATCTATCTATCTATCTATCTATCTATCTATCTATCTATCTATCTATCTATCTATCTATCTATCTATCTATCTATCTATCTATCTATCTATCTATCTATCTATCTATCTATCTATCTATCTATCTATCTATCTATCTATATGATTGTATATTTGAACAAAGTGGTTTTATTTTAAATTAACTCATGGTATGAATGTAAAAAAATATATGATGGTAATACTATCATAAAATAAAATAATAGATCAGAAAATGCCAACAATATTATTTTCACACAGTCATAATAAAATTTGACGTTTATCCGGGTAAATTTATGTCTAATATCTTTGAGATTGCGTTTTTTGTTTGTTTTTTAACAATAAAACAACAAAATAACAAAAACAAAAAAAATCATAAGAACATCAGTTGTTAATTAAACCGAAATATTAAAAAAATGTAAAGTAGAACAAAACGATGGCTGTTAACGCTGCCCACAATGAATCTAAGAAAAAAGTTGTGATATACCGTGATGAAATGTATGTAACAATCGTTCAATTGAAATTCCATTCAAGATTGTATATTATCTTTTCAAATGAATTAGTTATTTAAATTTGAATTTTTTTTTACACTATAAGGATCGTGCTATATTACAAGGAAGTTAAGCTACAGTTTGACAAGACGAAAAATGAATTTTTTAAGAACCCCAAAACTGGAAAACTCTTCCTAACAACTCACAGGGTAGAGAGCAGCAAATTTATTTCATTTGAATAAACACATGGCGCAAAAAAACCTCACATTTGATGTTTAACTTGACAGCTTATCTTTCTAAACGAAAGAAAAAGTGATAAGATGATATCGCTGACCATGCCCTATCTGAACTTGAAGCATCTGGATATGAAACAACCAATTTTCGGCAACAACTACATCGTCGGAGTCATCAAACCTGACAACGAAGGTGAACCTTCGAGTAACTTTTAGATAGTCTTTTAGATGAAGACATTTTTAAAGATAAATTTTTAGATTGCGTTTTTATTGAAATAAAGATAAATAAGTTTCTAGATTGAAATTATTTTCAACGATAAAAAGATATTCCTCGATGCTTTAAGTGGCTTAAATGTCGACATGGTCTATAGTGAATAAATCATTGCACAGTGTTATTAGCTTTTGCTGGAACGAAACGGTTGATTGCAAGAGTGTATGCAGAAGATAAATGTAACCTAATATTCACTCCAACTGAAAAGTGGTTCTTCTCAAAATTATCATTCTCAAAAGAAATAGTTTTTAAACTGGCACTGTTAAATGTTTTGATAGAACCCCACTATGGTGTTTGAATAAATTTTGTTTTTACAATTTATTAATTAATTATTTAGCTAATTGTTAAGTTAATCAAAGAGTTCTAACATTTCCATCAAATTGAAAAATTCGCCATCGAAGATGAGGTATGGAGCGTGAGTGAAGAGTTTCGCATAACCATCAACAAGGGAGGCACTTACGAACTGTTTAGGATGATCATGGATTTCAAAAGAGACGGTGAAGATAATTTTTCATCTTTTCATCATAATTCACCAAAGCTCGTTACACAAAAGTTTAACTAAAAGTTCTCCAAATAATACTACCATCTATAAATAACGCTTTAACGCTTTCACTCAGTTGCCAAACAAGCAAAAAGTGACCCGCAAGAGAACGATGTAAGTTCTTCTCCAAACATTGTTTCATTGTTAAACTTTCTAATTTTTTAAGCTAATATTCTTTGTCAACTAAGTAGAAAAATTAATAAAACATTTTGTAGTTTTATTAATATAGTTCAGATGTGTATACTTAACTAGAAATATATTATAGTGGATGGTTACAATTTCGTTTTAACGATCAACTGAAGCAACTTACCTGCCAAACATTGCAGCAACCGCCATCCCCACCGGCCAACAAAGGACCTACGGATATTTTCATGTTTTATAACAAGTACACCCTTCCAGAGAAAGAGAGAGGTTTGTACTTCTGCATGTGTGAATATTCTATAAATGAACAGAACTAATTTTTCTCTTAATGTTTGAATTTTTATGATGGATTAAAAAAAATACAACAATAAAACGATGTATATAATGTAATATGGAATAAAATAATAAAAAAATAAAACCAATTATTCTTAAAGGGAATCTTCTTGAAATGTCAGACCAGCCAGCGCCGTACCCTAGCGTGCCAATGGCCGTCCAAGTTTGCGTCGTCATCCTATCAGGGCCAGCAGCCGGAGGTGCGTTGTATTTTTGGGGGTATAAAATGTTACAAAATATAATCTATAAATTGTTATTATTACCGATATTTATTCCAAATTATTATTATTATTATCATCGTTATTATTATTATTATTATCGTTATTACTATTATTATCGTTATTATTACTGATATTTCTCTTAATTTGAGGGATATATTTAGCCGGTGGTGTAGGAACAACAGCAGTTGGCGTCTCTTTTATACTTACGTTATGTTATGATATAATATAATAATGCGTAATACGAAACAATAATATTAATAAATAATCAAGTAATATGAAATAATCTAACATGATACAACACACTGTGACATATCGTAATATATTAGAATATAACCCAACGTAAGGCAATAAGGCATGAATTACATGATTTGACATAACGCTACATATTGAGAAACCTAACATAATGTAGCAATCACTCTTAGCAAAGGACCAGGCTTTTCAACATACGCAATTTTTCTCTTATAAAACCAAAATTCGTAATCTTCGTGAATGATATAAAAACATTAAAAACTTAATCTTCTTCTTTCATTCTCGTGCCTTATCCTTTCAGGACAATGGCAACCATCGACCTCCCCAAAACCCGATCTTTAACACTTTTTAAGAGTAGTGTAAATGTAGTGATATACAACAAGTGACACAAGGACTTCACGAATGTTATTCGTTGTTGACCACGGTCTCTTTTCCCCGCAATCTTTCCAGTAGTTGTTAGATTTTCCATTCTATTCTTCCGCATGATGTTACCAAAAAACTGCCCCCGTCGGATTATCTGTAGTAATTTCCTCTTTTCATAATCGGACTGTTTTAAAACATCCTCATTCGAAGTATGAGAGGTCCAGCGAATTTTCATAATTCTTCTCAAAAATCAAATTTTCCAATATTTATAATTGATAATAAACCATATATTAATCCTTATCTTTTAATCAGAAAATTTTATCTTACAGTGTATACATATCATTAATTATTCATAATTTTTAAAAATATTATCTTCAATTGTTAATTTAGCTCAAAGTAACCAGAAAGTAAATTCGGCGAAGCCTTTTATAATGGAGCATTGAATGGTAGGAGAGAAGAGAAGAACAGAAGCTGAATAAAAGTTTTATTTCTTGAACTGCCCTCACTCACTGTCTCTCTCTCTCTCTCTCTCTCCTATTTTTCTAATTATGTAATATTAGTCATAAAAGTTTGAATAAATTTAGAAAATGAGATTGAATTTATGAAATATCGACTTCTCTTGTTTGTCCTTAATAACAAATTAGTGTTGACGCTAAATTTACAAGATGATTGGTTGGATGAATAGCTAGGTGAATTTATTTTATTAACTTCATAATATGAAATAATTAAACTGAAATTTTTAGCTACGTTGTTTTAGAAATAAGCATTGCGAATGTTAATAACCGAAACTACATAGTTTGCAGTAAAGCAGAAGTGGGCAAACATTTTGCTGTGAGGGCCGCATTGAGAGCTATTTTACCTTTGAAGGGCCGCATATGTACTAAAATAGCAATTTTTTCGACCCGGGGGAGAATTTTTTTAAAATTTGTGGTTCCGTTCTTTGATCATAATATCTGGCTGACGATCTTTTTTTAAGACGAAAACAAGGCCATGCGGGTCGCATAAATGTAAAAATAGCTTTGTCCACCCCCCCCCCGAAGTAAAGTAAAGAATATGCCAAAGTGGTGTTTCAACACTGCAGTCCAATTACTGAAGTTGATCGCAACGGTGCTGAATTTTATTCTCCCCCTTCCATGAAGATAAGTTTAGGAATTTTAAAATTAAAAATGAACCACCACACATCATTTGGTTTCTTTCATTCAAATTTGTTGCACCTTATATATAAATACATACATATATATATATATATATATATATATATATATATATATATATATGTATGTATGTATATATATATATACTATAATTTTTTTATTTTTACAAAGTTAGCCAAAAATTATTTACATGGTATGAAGAAAAATAATACATTGATAACCACAGTTATAAGAGCAATAATAATAATGATGATAATAATAAGGATAAATTTCAAAAATTAATGTTGGTTATTCAAATTAATTAGAAAGTCAGTTTTAATAATAATAATAATAAACAAAAACAACGATAATAAATTAGGAGAGTTACAAAAGCGGGAATGTCTTCTGCGTCTGTTTGCTTGTGAGTGTGCATGTTAAGATAGTTATAGTATTGACATATATATATATATATATATATATACACACATACATACAAACATACATACGTAAATACACGTGTGTTTCTGTCTGTATTTACGTAGGCCACTGAATACTTGACGACATTTAGCAAATATTTATTTAAAATATTTAATTTAATTAACCAATTAAAGTTAATTAATGAATCATGTTCACTAATTAATAATTAATTAACTAATTAATTAATACTGAAAAAATGACTAATAATATAGAATGAAGTATTTAGGATATAATAAAAATGATCATAATGATTGAACTAAATTTTATATTAATTATTAATATTAAATATTAATTAATTACAGTAAATTAACATTTATGTATCATGTATAACCTTTATTTATAACTTTAATAACTAAAATAAGCACTCGTCTCAGACATCAACCAATCAATCAACCAAATCTAATTAGTGATTGGTCGATTGATTGATTGAATAATTGTTTTAATAAAGGATTGATCAACTGATAGGTTGACGGAACAATCGAATGAATGAATGATTGATTGTAGATTGATTAATTGAATAGATCGATGATTGAAATGATTATTTAATTGATTGATTGATTCAATAATTGATTGATATAATGAAGAATTTATTAATTTAATTTATTACTCAATTGGTTGCTTGATGGATTTGTAAGTTTATCGATTGATATCATGAGATATGAAACTATTCCAGCGTATAACAATTTTTTCAAGCATTAAAGTTAACAAACATATATGTATGTCTACATGTATAATATATGTACTTGAACCGAACATCATAAATCTGTGTGTGTGTGTGTGTGTGTGTGTGTGTGTGTGTGTGTGTGTGTGTATGGTTGTGTCTGTCTGTGTGATTATGAGAGAGAAAAAAAGAGAGAAAAAGAGAGAGACAGTTCGTAGATCGATTAGTTATTAATTTGATTGTCCTCTTAGCAATATAATTTTATTCCTTTAATAAAACACCAATAATATGGTTAATTTTTCTATTTACAAAATAAAGAATAGCTTTTATTTATTTATTTAATTCCATTAAATCAAATTAAAGGTTAAAGGTTACTCTCTCAGCAAACACACACACACACACACACAATATTTACACGTGCACATGTGTGTGTTTGTGTGTGTGCGTGCGTGTGGATATTATATATATATATATATATATAAATAAATAAATAAATATATATATATATATATATATTATATCAATAATAATGAACAATAAAACTAAAAGCCGTTTATCATATCATTTACCAAACGATAGCTACCAGGAATTAAAATAGTCACAAAAATACTAATTAAAGTTATAAAGAGGTAATATAAAAAATAAATAAATAAATAATAATATGAATAATTCAAAATAGTTTAATAAATACAAATATTACTAAGAATATTAAGTGTCATAAATAATATAATCAGAAAGATTTAATTGAAATAAAATAATTATAGTTAATATTGTTATGTATCATAATTAATTAATTATTTAATCTATTATGATATATCATAATTATTATCATTTTAGATCGAAAAATATTTACAAATTTACAACGGACAGACAGCAATGTAGTAGTGTGACAAGTAACAAGGGGATTTGTATACAAGTAAGTCTAAATGTTTATCCGTCTGTTTGTATGTTTGTTCGTTTGCGAACGAACGAACAAACACGTTTACAAAATTTATCACTTTTTAAAAGGAAATATAAGCAAAAATCGGTGGCTTTATGGGCTTTGTATGTATGTATGTGTGCACGACTGATTAAAAAGTCTTCATCATCATATTCTCTGTTAATATCAAATGCAATTTCATCATCACCTCCAATTTCGACAATGGAATAATTAGCAAGTAAGTTGATAGCGTCACCACATAATCAATCCTCACACTTAACATCACCACACTCAATCACTCACTCAATCACTCAATCACTCACTCACTCATTATCACCATCATCACCAGCGTAATCATCACCATGGCGTGACTTCACCAATCCCATCCATCTTTTGTCGAAGAATTTCTGAAGCGAGTGCCCAGCGCGACCAACCGTCGAATCGTCTTCGTTGAAAATTTCGCAGTTGTTGAACACCAGGCGAATGTCGCTCACAAACTCGCCGCGATTTTTGTAGCTGGTTGTAGTTGTGGTAGTAGTGGTGAATTGGTGATTTAAATTATTTGAGTTAAAACTCTAATTTGATATGACATCAATAGATTTGAGTTAAGTACGTTTGTAACACAGAAATGTTTTTACTGCCAGCGTTATGGTTATAAGCATTTTGTGTTCGTTGTAGTTTGCTGTTGAAGTAAATTTTATTTACCAGAGAATAATATATATATAAATAAAAAAACCCAAACAATATAAATACTTACAAATTATTTTTGAGCCTTTTGGAGATGGTTTGAAAATCGATGGGACATCTGATGACCTTCCTATAGGTTGGAAACTGCTTGGAGCTGACAGGAGCCAAGAATGGCCAGGAATCATTGTGTTTCTTCAGTTCGTTCAACATTGTGCTGGTTGCGAGTGTTTGTGCTTGTCGTGGTTTTTTGTATGTGTGGTTGCGTTCGTGTTGGTGTGTGATGTGTTAGTAAATGTGGTTGTTCGTGTGAATGTGCGTTTGAGGATTAAGTGTTTTCGAGGTTGAATAAATAAATCTTAGTTGGTTTGAGGGCCAGGCAGTCAATAACAAATGGATCGATTAATTGGTCAGTCGGTCAATCAGTTGGTCAGCCTCAGTTAGTCTGTCTCAGTAGGTTGTTTGATCAATCGATAATTAAATGGATTGTTCAAACTGTCGACTAGTTAGTTCATCAAACGCTCATTCAACCAGCCAATCAATCATTTAATCAATCAATCAATCAATCAATCAATCAATCAATCAATCAATCAATCAATCAATCAATCAATCAATCAATCAATCAATCAATCAATCAATCAATCAATCAAACAAACAATCAATCATTCATTCATTCATTCATCCAATCAGAACTCACTGACAAATGGACATATCCGACGCCATTAATGTGTCACCATTCAAGTCTGCAACGTTGTTGTAATCTACGTTGCTGCTATCAATGTTGTTGTTATCAATGTTGTTGTTGCCGTTGTTGTTGCTATCAATTTTGCTGCAAGTATCATTGTTGTTGTTGTTGTTGCCAAGATTTCCGTCAGACTTGACATTGTTATTAGTGTTATCATAATTGATGTTATCCATGTTGTTGTTTTTGTTGTTGTTGTTGTTGTTGCTGTAAAACATCCGTTTCATTGAGAGATGACGCTGATGACGTTGAAGTCATCCTCAAATTACTTCTTCTTTTTCCGCTTCCGGTCTATATATTTTCATTGAAGGTTTTAAATGTTCCAAGTTGCTTAAAATCTTTTTTCATTTTAATCACTCTATTTACGTTTTTGATTTAAATGATTTAAAAGTTTAAATGAAATTTAAAATCTCAATCAAAACGCCTTATAAAAGATTAGATTCTTTTATATTCATGATTAAAAGGTGGCTTCAAAGCAGTCAAAATTATTTTAGTTCACTTCAAACAAATTACTCATCCTAAAATTTCAAATTTTTCATAGTTGAAACATACAGTTGAAATCAAAACACAAAAGTTTCTTACGTATATATATATATGCATTGTATCGTAATGTTTTGTATCGCATTGTATTGTAATGTATTGCATTGTACTGTAATGAATTGAATTGTAATGAATTGAATTGTAATGAATTGAATTGTAATGAATTGCATTGTATTTTATTGAATTGTATTGTTTTGTTTTCTATTGTATTGTATTGTATTGTAACGTATTGTATTGTATTGTAACGTATTGTATTGTAACGTATTGTATTGTATTGTAACGTATTGTATTGTAACGTATTGTATTGTAACGTATTGTATTGTATGGTACTGAATTGTATTGCTATGTATTTTA